CGATAAAATAAACAAATTGCCATCATACAGTTGGCAGTTGGAGTACGGTCCATCATTGGATTAAGATAGAGCCATATTGTTCTTTACTAATCCTATCAGTTGAAATAAATCATGCGTGGCCGGGAAAATTTACGAGTTACTGTGCAACACCTCTCCCTTTTTCGGTCGTTGTTTTTTAAATGATTCATTGTAAATAAATAGTTAAAATTCGACCACCGATTATCGGAATAAAAAAAACCGAAATTAAATTTTAAGGTTTTTTAAAACTACTTCAACGCAACAGCTGATAAAAACAAAATTTAATTTTGGTAAAATGTCATGATTTATTACCTAATGCATACCTACTTGTTAATATAACCATGGGATGTAAATGCTGGGTATAAAACTACTGCGTTAATTTATATAATTATTACTTATTTTTATATTAAATAAAGTAATAATTTTTGGAATTTTGGGTTATAAATGAATTATATTAAATTAAAGACCCGTAATAATTTTAGAAAATATTCATTTTCATTTAAAATTAAACATTATACAAGGAAACATTTGAAACGGTTTTATATATTATAGATTTTAATATCACTAAATTGTATAATATTATAATATAGCTATTTTTTCAAAACTATCCAATTTTAGATTCGAATGGGGAGCGTTGAATGTGTGAAGTGTGTTTTTCGAAGTAAAAATGTATCTATATTTATGTTAAACGGATGGTATCCGCTAGAAATTTGGATGTAGTTGGTACTTGGTTACTTGGTGGGAGGGGTGGGGGTGTTGTTAAAAAATGATCGGTACCTACAGTATCTAGTAGGTAAGTACTAAGTACCTAGTTCTTTTCTAATAATTCGAGTAAAACAAAAAATAAAATACATAGAAACCTAAAACATTATCCTATTACTTAATTTTTAATTGTCTATATATATAGGTACGATGACATTTTGAATTCATTTAAACTAATTTTAAGCTATTTACTGAATGATTTTTTTTAAAAATATTTATCGTCTGGAGGGTACCATCGCTGGATGATTTCCCTCATCTTGTTTTCATGTGTTATTATTTTGTATGTATATAGTGTTATGTCAGTCATCCATTTTACTTATTGTGTTACGTAATACAGATTGTAAATTTTCTAAAAAAAATAAAAATATTTATCGTATGTATTTATGTTTAATAGTTTGTTTTTTAAATGTTGATAACAGTGTATTGAAGTACTCAATGCTCACCCTAAATATTTGATAATATATAATGCAACATTTATCATAAGTTGTAATATTATAGCAGTTAAAAAATATCAAAAATATACAGAACATTTTTTTTTATAAGATTTTTAAGTTAAAATTGTAATTTATACTTACCAAATGCTTAAGAATGTAATTCAAGGCTCAAGTTTCTTCATAAATCTGTTCAGAATTCTAAAAAAATTAAGCGTATATGTACTCGAAACTTTTCATACTCACGTAGGTACTTATAGTTACGACATGACGGTATTGTGGTTTTCTATATATAGTGGAATTTTCCAAATATTTTAACTAATATTAAGCTATTTATACCTTGAATTTATTTATGCCATTTTACGGTACGAGGTATAAATTTATAAACTATAATATTATAAGTTAATAATATTGATATAATATTATTGTAATTAGATAGTAATAACTTATATTATAGTGTAATATGTGTATGTCAAGGTTTTGGTAGAAAATAGTTCTAGGTATAATATGCTGTACCACTATAGGTACTGCTAATAGGACTTGGTGTTGATATAAATTAATTATAAAATAATCTTAGAAATAGAAGCACACCGCCTCCGTTTAGAAAAATTTTCCGTATGCAATGAATAGAAAATATATTTTTCAACGTTCACCTTGGATCGACATTTGATTTAATTACAGCCAACGCAGAAAATTCAGTCTCACATAAGACGTATAGGAATAGTTTCTAGAAAGTATTACATTTTTTCCAAAGTTTGTTGGCCAATTCAGGTTATTGTGGTTTCATATATTATGTCCGAAATTGGGTTAACGACAATGATAGGAACATAGTCTTCATTGTGGAATATTACGTTATATCGGTCCTCTGGGCCCTAGATTGTTACTGTGTCATAATAATTATTGAACTTGGTTGTTTCAACTTTCGATTTGTACTCGATGATTATTATTGTCACGTCGCTTCGGTCACAATTATTTACTCTGTTCGAGTTAAGAAACGTAGTCTCTGACTATTGTGGTGCAGGGACTTGGCAATACTACATGGTAGGTATACAGATAATTAACTGGTTGGGGGTTGATAAAAGAGTGTTGCCCGACTGCGGCCCGACGAAAACTCACTATGGTAGCCATTGACTACTTTTCTTAACTCTTTGAGGGGCGAAAATTTCCTTTAGAAAAAAGACCCATGTGGGCAATATGTCTCTTTACCATAACATTTAGTACGTATATCAAAATATTGATAATGATAATAAATGATGAAAAACGCAAGAAATGATATCAGACCAGCGGCAGTGATATTGTTTGATGCATGTATAAGATGATAATAAGGTGATTGGTATGCTGACCATCATCAAAAAAATATTAAAAATAATTTTAAAAGTGGTTAAAATAGTAACCACCGCACCTCAACGGTAAAAAAAAAAGTGGTTAGCATACTAACCACGGCCCCTCAAAGAGTTAACTTGAACCGAGTATATGTGTGTATAGATTTGTTTTTTTCATATTGCGTGTTAATAATAACCTTGTGGTTGTTTTAGTTTCACAAGAAAAGTGTTCTTTCCTTAAAGCCCTCGATCTTTAGAGGTACAATCTCTCCCGGATGCAACAGATTTTCGTATCTATCGCATCTGTCACTGTTAGGACAAATAGCATATTAGTGACTTACAGTCACGTATGTGGAAAAACATAAGTATTTGAAAGAAGAAAATAGTTTTTGTATAACTTTAACAGATGTGTGCTAATGTTATCGTTTTACAAATTTAAAAAAAATTCCCATTTTTCGTCTAAAAACGAGCTATTGAGGTTATTTTGATTTATTATTTTAGTCACTTATTTTTATTTTACCACTTAAAGAGAACTTATCTAGATTTAAGAGTACGTATTGGGTACATATATTGAAACATATTTGAGAACTTATCATAAGTCTAAATCAGTCTATGCCATGGTCCATGTTAGATCATTTAATCATCGACTTTTTATTTAATAATATTGAATTAAATAAGCAGTAGGCTCCTATATAGTATCTATTCAGATATTGTGTAAGTTGAAGGTTCTACGGACATTTTTGTAGTTGCGATTTTGTCGCAACTTAAAAAATATAAATTTAGTTATGTAACATTTGTGTTCAATAACATATGCGGATTTTTCACAAATCGTTTAGTGTGATTTTTTATTCTTACTAATATTTCAATAAAATTGTCCAGTATTACAGGATAAGAAAGATTTGTAGGGTTTAGGTACATTCTATTGTTGTGGTTGTAGTAACTAAAATGTATACTCTCCTTTTACTTGTTTCCCAAAATACTCTTACTCTCAAATCAGGCGTAGGTATAGATCTTAATCAAACAATGTGTTACCGATTATAATTTAATTTAAAGTACCGCCTAATACCGATTTTAAATCGCATACAGCCAGGTACGGATCCAGAGCAAAGATCTGGGGGGGGGGGCAACAACTTTTTTACAACACAAATCCAATTATAATAAAATATTATACTTTATTCTTAATTTAAAAATGTTGTCATAATAGTAGGTATAGGTAATTAATGTGATAAATAAATTATTGATTATTTAATATATAAAGTGACAATGTGAAAAGAAGTTTAGATTTTGTTTATTTATTATTTAGTATAGAATATTTATATCTATAAAAAATATGTCTGGGGGGCCCTGGATCCGTCGCATACAGCATAATCGATTTCTTCAATCCTCGCCAAATTGACTAGTATGTTTTGCAAAACATCAAAAAATAATATTATAAAAATTATTTAAAATTATTTTATTATATTGAAATTATACAATAATATAATAATATTTATAACGTTTTCTTTTACTTTTCATTCATAAGTATTGTTTTCATATTATGTAAACATGTTTTTAGAATAACACAATTTTACCTTAAGATAATTATGATTTGGCTAGAACAATACTGATTGACCTATAAAATAATACGTCAAATTTGAAATTACCAATCTAATTTATTAAAATATAGGTACACAGGTACAGTATGTAAATAATAATAATAATAATAATAAACCGATAAATAAAAATATCGGTAGTAAAAATTAAAAATTAAAACACAATAATACAATATAAAAAAAGGTTATTTATTATAATACCCTGAATAAAATAAGTATTAAAATATTTAAAGAAAAATTTATAATTTTATATTAATTGATATCAAGTGAAATATTTTGGGTGATTCTACGTACAAATTATGTTTTAGTTTTTGTTAATGTATAAATATATAATTATAAAACCAATGATATTATGTAAATTATGTTCATAACATTTTGATTACAATCGTCTATCGGTTTTTAATGTAAAACATAATATAAATATAGGTACATGTTTTGATATTTTATAGTCATTTTTACTTATCATAATAATTATAAGTAATAAAATAATTATATAAATATCTGTTTTTGTTATTATTTATTAATTTTTAATTTTTACTAGTAATACTTGTATTGATAGATTTATTATGTTTTGACTTCCAATAAATATAATCAATAAAAACGTGCAATCATAATATAACCATGTATTTATTTACAAATAAAATAACAATATTATTGGTGGTGTCAGGAAAATTAAGTCAATTTATATATTTTCTTAAACTAATTATCGATTGTTTTTATTTATTTACATCTATTATTTTAGCAAAATATGTCTTTCAAAGACACGTTATTACCAACCTATACATTTTTATTATAATGCAATATATATAATGTTTGTGTAACTGTATATTTGTACTCATGTACTGCATTCAGTCTTTTATAAATTATGTGAAGGGATGAAGGTTAGTTTTTTTTTTTTGACAGGTTCAAATTTCTGCCGGGGAACGTTTGATGGATGGCTTTGCTGGGCAGATACTGAAGCCGGAGTCACCGTTCACCAACCATGTCCAGCATTCATTTCTGGATTTGATCCAACCAGTGAGTTGCATTTGTTGATTTTAAACACTTACACATATGTTTTAAGATCATAATATATATTTTTTTTCAATTACGATAAAGATAACAGCGTTCGTTTATTTATAAAATATGACAATTAATTGTATTTTTTATTCGTGGTTATAGTAGGTATTTATTTTTACACCATCGACACTAAAAAGGTAAAATGAAAATTAACTTTACTGAAATATCTACCAACCCTGGACCCTGATACCATTATTCGTTAATTTAAATGTAATATTAAAAACCTGTAGAAAGTTTATAAAATAAGGATCAGTATATTTTCTCCTTGTCAGATGATTCAATATAAATATTAAATGGATATCCATCGTATTTATTAATATTTATTTGATTATTATAATTTATTTTCATTGACAATATTTTTCGTCCTTACGCCATGTATTTGATAATGGAAATTCAAACTCCAAGCGGATATTAATTGAAAATGTCATATTTTTTTAATAATATATTTTTATTCAGATAAGCACCGAAAATGATTCAAAAACGAACCTTAATGTTTACATGTTTGTATTTCTTCTTGCAATTATTGTACACATATAAAATAAACAAACATTTGTGTATGGTAGTTTATGAGTGTTTTTCGTAATTAACTATTGCATTGTGTAGGATGTGTTACAATTTAATTAAATATTAAATCATTTAATAGGGATGAGAAATGATTTTTAGCTTAAATGGTGTGTCAACCTTTATTAATTCCAGAGATGTTTTACAATAAATAAATATATTTATTATTACTAATAGTTATTGATTTGTTATTAGTGAGTTATGGTTGAACTAATATTTTTCTGAAAACCTAGCATGTAGGTATTATATAAAAGCTATTATTATATTGTATCATAGTATAGGTAGGTACTATCATATTATGTTAAAAAAGTATAGGTATATATATATTAGATAAATAGCTAACAATTTTACCTGGGGTAATTTTTCCGAAGGTGTATTTCACCATTTTCTTGGTGAATAATGTTCACCAAATTATAATCAACATTTTTTACTCAGGAACAAATGTATAAAAAAAATTTATGTTAATTTGTTGGACATTGTTGAAGAAGTCTATATATTTTTTTTCAAAAGCATGGTGTCTAATGTTTTTCATAAAATCAATGATTTTATTATTTAAAAACCTAAAATGTCACAACATTGTTAATTTTAAAACTACTTATTATTAAAATCATTCGAATTTGTTTTACAAGATGATTGGCTTAATAATATAGGCCGACTAAATAGTTAGACAATTATATACCTAATAGTTCAATAGTTGTATGTGCACGTATTTTTACTATCCCGAGTTTTATAATAATTCAAAATGTTGTATTGTAGGAACTGCTTATAAGATTTGCAATAAAAATGCTACATGGTTCAAGCACCCAATATCCGGTGCAGTCTGGTCCAACTACACAACTTGTATTAACCATGAAGACTACAATGTAAGTATACAACTATACATACACTTTTGATTTATTATATACAATACACTTAGTAATACATATGTATATGTTATTGATTTAAGTCTTTATTGTTCTTCACAATATATATATTATATACGGTATGTCGGTATAATAATATTATGTAGATATGCACTATGCAGCACATCCGAACTTGTTGTCTTCACTAACGTGGCAATTTTACGTTTAATTGTTAACGTTTATCTTCGTTAGTTTTGATATTAGAGTGAATAGATTTATCACCAAACTTCACAATAAGAACATTTTCCGTGTTTCCTTTTTGATTAAATTACGATATTTTAATTTTTAAGGAAACGAAGAGTATGTAGAATATAGCAATTGAAATATACTCACAATTCGCTAAATAGCGTAAAAACTAGTGTAAAATCACAGAAATTGTGGTTAGTTTAAAGTTTGATATTAGGTCAATAATTCAAATTTGTATAAAAACCGACGAAGCTAAACGTGAACCGACTACTTAATTTTATGGCGTCCCCTTAAATGTGTATATGAGTTATATTACGATAAACATTTCATTTTTTCCAGTAGAATATTTTTTTCAGAATATAAACAGAATAATAATATATATTATGTTATTCAGTACAAGCGCAATGCTTATTAACAACTTTATTTATCAGATATTAAAGTAATAATTGAAGTAAATTGAAGTAAAGTGATTATGAAGTATAATAATAGTATTTTCGCACCAAGAACAACAGGCGATTCATTCATTACTCTAGATGACAGTAAATATAGTAATATATATAGTATAGTTATTTAGTATATATTATAATACATTATATATTTATTTCCCTGCTGGTTTCCTTAACATCCGATAATGTTAATGTAAACAACAAATACGGCTCATCTCTTACGGTAGGTACCTATTGGTACCCTATTCAGAGTTTTTTATTTCTATATATATATTATATTTATTTCTGACAATGATAGATAACATACAAGAAACGTTGAATCAGAGTCCAAAATTTACCATATACTGACTGAAGAAAATATACCCTATCTATAATTTGTAGGTACCGAATATTTAATAGTTAATCGAATACGAAATGTTTCTTAAGAATCTAAATAATAGTCAACTTTTAAGTTTTTACCATGAATAATATAACAATACAAAACTATTAAAAACTCAAATTGTCACTTCAGCTCCAAACTGACAAAGAGTGTAGGATTAAAAATCTTCACCCACTTACCACGAAAGTGTCTGATGTTTTATCATAAATAGAAAGAATGGTGGACACGGTACCGGGTTTGAACGTTATTTTAAATAACATTTTTACCAAATACAGATAAGCAATCACAACAGATGATAAAAAATGTATAAATAAATAATTCTTCTTGGATGTCGATTTTGGAAAAAGTAATATATAGGTAGGTATTGGCATCTCAAACAGAAAATAAATCATCACATTTGCACTGCAATAGTTATGAAAAAGAAAGATTAGCAAGAACATCGTTTTCGACAACAGTAATTCTAATAGTAAATGCGCATTAGTACAAAAGATATTATTCCTATTAAATACAGGGTGATCCATTTAAGTGGGTACACTAATTATCTCGAAAAGTATTAACTTTTTTTGAATTTTTTTTTTTTTAAACTTCTAGGTTTATGTTTTTCTAAAACCGTATAATATTTTTATTTTTTTCACTATTATATTTATTAGTGAAACCACTAACAACTTTTGATTTTCAAATGGTAACATATAATAAAAATATCATGAATTAATAATACCATTTTTATTGTGAATTTACGCGTTAACATTTTTATTTTTCGATGATTCGTTTGCGAGATACAGCTCCTCAAAATATTGGTGGTTTTCAAAATATTTTCAATAATTGTAAAGACCAGGAGCTAATCATAAATTTGATATCGTTGAACCCAAGTTGACAAAATAAATAACAATTAATTATAGATTACCATTGTACTTTGAACCCTAATCATTTCTTAACTTATCGACTAATTGGACATACCGAATTACCAATGAATGATAAATAAAAACTGGAAATATATTATGACAAATTTATTTTAATCACAATTTCACAGATAATTATTTAAAAATTAAAATGGTATCACCACATAATTATATCTTATTACCACTAATGACTAAGGTATACCTTGATAAGTCCGTGACTGGTAATATGATTATAATATTATGCAGAAAGTAAATAATAAATACCCATATTTAGGTGATAATGCAAAATTGCACGATTTAAGATAGTCCTATCAATTATCTTAAATAATATTGTTCAATGTTTTGTGATATTGTGAATGATATGAATGTTGTATGATAATAGTAGAAAATGAAATAGAAATTAGAATAATACTATAATAGGTATTATAATTTTACAGCACTATTTAAGAATTTAATTAATTAATTACCTATCTAAAATCGTGTTTTACAGTTACACTATTTGAAAATCTTATAACTTTTTTTTTTATTGTACAAAAACTAATATTAAATTAATGTAGTGATATTAATATATTATTTGATTAACAATCAAATCGGAATCCCAAGAGTCCAAGACCATTAATTAATAAGGATTTGAAAGAAAAAATGTATGAAGATCCAACTACATAAAATTCTTGGTTTATTTATTTTTAATATGTGTTCAAAATGTTGACCATTTTGTGATATACAAAATGACATACAAAAGACATTTTCAGTTGTACATTTTTTCATAATATCAACTGGTATATTATTTGAACAGACTTCTGTAATTTTTTTTATCAGCTCATTTTTACTGGATGGCATTATATCATAAACAGCATTCTTCACAAATCCCCCCCCAAAAAAAATTCAAAGGTGTCACGTCTGGACTACGTGCTAGCCATTGAATTTTCTGGACTCCGGGTACCCATCCAGTTATCTTAAAAATACAATTTAAATTAAATGTAATACTTATTTGTATAAATTGTATCCATAACATATTGGGTTAATGTAAATAAATACCTATATGAATATAAATGAGAAGAAAATTGTGTAACTTTAAATATTATATGTATTATAATATTAAAATTTTTATAAGTAGCAATCAAAAAAAATATGATGATAATGATAATTACCTCCGTAAATGTTGTTTAAATAGACCTGAACCTGCCGACATTTATTGGTCGGAGCACCATCTTGTAAGCTTATGTAAGAATAGGATCTCTAGGTGGGGCTATTCCTTTGAAAACCGAAATTTTTTTTTTCTCACTGAAGGAATACCTTGATCCTTAATTAACTTACTGTTAAATATTTTAGATTCTGAGTGAAACGATGAATGTATTGATTTTACAATGATGTGTGTTTTTATATTTTTATATTTTTATATTTTTTTTTGTGTCTGTCATCACGTTTTGGGACAGTAAAAGTGCTTCGATTTTCTTCAATAGTACCTTTTCTGATAGGAAAGTGAATCTAGTTGGTACTTTGGGGGGTCAAAAGTAAAAATTTAAATTTCCCAATAGTTTTCAAAAGCGCCGTGAAAAACAAAAGAAAAATTAAGGAAAAACGGGAATTTTTACGCAAAATCTGTTTTCCAAAAAATCGATTTTGGTTTTTGGTGTAACTCTAAAACAAATGAACGTATATACATGAAATTTTCACTGGTTGTTTATATTTGCATTTTCTATACACGATAACATTTTCAAAATATTTTGATTTATTTTGAACTGTTTAAGGACATTTTCATTTTCCATTATTTTTAAGTTTTTTTTCTAAAAATATCAATAAAATTTTATTTGTTGGTTGCGCGAAAGCTTGAAAATTTAATAGAAGGCTCCCAGTATGTCGTTTCAAAGGAAGATGAAAAATATTAAAAATCCTTAGTCACAATTTTTTTTTATAAGCATTTAAGTTCAAAAATTGTCAAAATATGGAAAAATCACGAAAATTAGCAAATTATTTTGAGTTAAGAATTCGTAAAATTTTTCTTTTTAAATCTAAGATTTGAAAATGAAACACAAGATTCCTTATAAGATTATCTACCTTTATCAAAAGAAAAATGTCTATAAGAAAGTCAAATTAAATTTTTATGAGCGTTTGAAATTCAAATTTTTACAACATTGAATATTCACTCGATTTCTCATGTAGCGATTTCCTTATTTTGTTGTAATTCAAAAACGAATAACTGTAGATACATGAAAATTTCACTGAATGTTTATATTAGCATTTCCTATACACCATACAATTTTGAAAATATTTTGACTCTTTTTGAGCTGTTTACGGACATTTACAGCTTTCAATTTTTTTTAGTTTTTTTTTCTATAAATATCAATAAGGTTTTATCTGTTGGGCCAAAAAGTGTAAAAATTTAATACAAGGCTCCTGATATATTGTTACAATAGCAGTTGAAAAATATTAAAAATACATACGCACAGTTTTTTTTATAAGCATTTAAAGATCGAATTTTGACAAAATTTATCAAAATCTCGAAAATTATCAATCATTCTAATTAATAAATTATAAAATGTTCAGTTTTTATAGCTAAGGATTGCAAATTAAACACAAAGGTTCTCATAAATAGTTCATACTGTAACCAAAAATCTAAAAAATATATGAAGACAGTTAATTTTTACAGACATTTTAAATCCAAATTTGGACGAATTTACATATTAAAATCAATATTAACGATCTTGGTTTTTCGTTGTAATTTAAAAATAGTATTCGGGGATATATGATACCTAATGGATATTGTGATATGATTAATTTGGAATTTATTATAGGTATCTATTATAGGTCAATTTTTTTTTAATACCATCGATAAGTATATGTCTTATACCTAGATTGACATACCGTCTCCACTCAGAATCGTTTTTCTTATACAATGATATTATATCATTGAATTCAAATTTAATACCATCCATTATACCATGACCTACTTGTAACCTACAGTACAGCAGAGCGACATCCACTTACCCACCTTTTTTTTCATTTTTATTTTTGTGTCTGTGTACACGATAAGTAGTCGAAATAATGCTTCGATTTTCGACTTCAGTATCTTGTTCGATT